AGCAAATCCCATGTATAAGAAGCAAGAAAATATCACAAGCTGATACTTTCAAGGTTTCCTGGTGCTTCTGCATAGGAGCACTGGGGTCAGCAAAGCAGAATTTGGCTGCCTTGGTCCAGAGGAAGTCTCATTAATATTTTCGGGAATGGCTTGACTCTCCTTCATAATGAAATTTTAATTTCAGGTCCTTATAAAACAAACAAACACCTCTACCCCCCCCAACAATAACAGAAAGCATATTCCACAGAAAGCATGCTTAAGGTATTTTAGTAGCACAGCAACATTTCTGTGGTACAGCTCAGCTCTGCCTTACCCCGTGGCATCCAGAATGTGTCTGGTTTTATCTGTTATTTTTCCACAGCTTCTCTCTTAGCTTCCTCAGCCATCACATTCCTATATTTACACAGCTGCTGCTGAAGTTGTAAGTCAGCAGTGGCTATTGTTGCATAAACAAATGGAACATGTGGATCTTGCCAAATATCACTTACCCGACTTCTCCTCCTTGTTCCTAAGCAATTTATGTTTTGGCACTAACAGACTTCCTGAAAATTAAAAAGAAAGTGCTTTCAGACGTGTTTCGTGTATAATGCTTATCTATTCTGGCAGACCAAATTTTGAATAATTTTAGAGTAGGAGAAAATACAAATCAGCAAAGTTTCAGTGTAATGCAGCAAGAGTCACTGTCACGCTGAGACCAGTGCTAAGGACCTCGGGCATATCACCTACCACCTGAACCCTATAGGCCCTCCACTCCCAATCCTATGCATGACCCTTTGGCTTTAGCTGGAGAACCTCACCCTTTCAGGACAGAATCCCACTAATGCAATGTAAAGTGCTCTGGTCAAACTGTCAGCAGCTGTACTTGCTTTTCGTCCTCCTTCTGTCATATCCCTTAGCATTCAGATGATCAGAACGGTGAAGCAGCTTTTCATACCTTAAGAACGCATTTTAAAACTTCAGACCTTAAGAATGCATTTTAAAACAAGACATTTTACAAAGGCGTTTGGATGATCAACTGACTTGCAGCATCAGGGATATCACTGACTAACTTCCAGCATCTGTTTTCTTAACTCCTTTTCCTAATTACGCCAATTGGAATAAAGGAATTCATGCCGTTGTTTGCCTCCGGACATGGGAAATAACCCCCACATACTGAATTAATGATGTGCAAAAAGGAACAGCACACTGAGTACAGGAGACACAGACAGATCAAGATTAAGAAGTAGCTGTATTCTTAACCTGCGTTATCGAAGGTCTCTGAAGCTACAGATGTGGCTGTACAGATCAACACTCCATGCTACTAGACACCTCACAGGAGTCCATTTCACAACACTTCACTCTGCTGTTGGTCTAAGTAAAACTACAAATCGGGGTTATACCTGCTAAGGTCAGTAACAGAAGAGGTGTGTTACTGAATTTAAGGCTTAGCTAGATACTCACTTAGCAGCAGACAAATCATACAATACACAGAATACTTCAGGCTGGAAGGGATCAGCATGTGTCAGGCTATTCAGGGGGCTCGGGACTCCCTAGCCTTTCCGGGCATCTCTGCCGGAATGCAATCTTCCTCATGGTGAAACATTTTTTATTTTCATCCACTTGTGATTTCTCTTGTTGCAAGTTGTGTCTGTTGCCTCTCATCCTATCACTGTGCACCTTCAAGAAGAGTCTGGCTCTGTCTTCTCTATACCCTTATATTAGATAGCTGTAGATAGCGAGAAGATCTCCCTTTAGCCTTCTCCTCTTAAGGCTAAACAAAAGCAGTTTTCTAGGTAAACTCATTCAGCAATTTCTAGAATTGAAAGAAAGGAATTTATTTTTTCCACTTCTCTGCTTCCTCTTCACAGTGCACAAAAGCTATTGAGAGAGACTATCTACAGATGTGGAGCGTGAAGAAATATTGTGTCAAGAGAAATTAGGGTCATAAGGAACCAAAAGTACCTTAGTGCTTAGCGCTCATCCCTGCTTTTTGCAAATGATTGTGGGCTTTGCCAGTTATCGAATAGCATCCTCACGATGGTGTACAGACCTCAAGGAAGAAGATAAATCTGAGCCCATTCAAACGAAACTATTTTATTGGGAAGTAGCCTGTTTGCAGTGGGACAACCTTTTATTAATAAGGTCATTGTCTGCTGCCTCAGAGCTAGGGGGTCTGGGAGGACCCCTCCGCCAGCTTCCCCAGAGACAGGGACTGCAGTTATTTGCCAGATGCCTCTCTTTGGGCACCTCCCCTACGTGGTTTGTGCTATGACCCCTGAAAGCATTGAGATCCTTCCTGTGTGGTGGAGTGCTCTGTCTGAGGGGGCTGCCCCCAAACTTGCACCTTCAGTTTTTTGGGCTCTGCATCCAGCTGTGAAACGAGGAACCTGAAAACTGCAGAGTAGGGAGGTGCCCTGGAGTCTGGGGTTCTGGCAGGACCAGTGTCTCCAGTGGGTTGCTGTGAATCTGTGGGAGGCCTGTCTTTGATGTGTCAAGGACTTTTCGGATTAAATCCCATTGGGTTCAATTAACTGGGATTTCTTTGCTATATTTTGTTTTGCCCAAACTTCACAACACCTTTTTTCCTGCCAACTTTTCCTAATTAGCAATTAGGTGTTAGCAGTTTCAAATGTATTTGCAAAGAGATTTTCTACTTACTTTTCCACCTTCTTCTCCTACAGTCCTAAAATGTTGTTTTCTCTTTACTTCTCTTGCAGAGTGAGCAACAACCTGCATGCAGGCAGCTTGGTAAAGGGTCCCAGGCCTGATTTTAGGGTTGATACAGGAGCTGTGAGCAGAGCTGAGGTTTTATGGGCCATCCCTTTATGTATGGTCACCCCATTGGAGTTGTGCAGAGGCTGTGGATGTGAAAAAAATTGGCTTAAAAAACATCTTCACTACAGATAATTAGTTAGGAAAGGACCAGCTTATTCTTCAGACCTCCACTCTGAATTTGCAGAGTTGCTGCCAAGGAAAAAAATGACCAGGTCAGAACCTGATCTCGTTTTCACCAGGATAAATACAAAGCCTTTCACCTGAAAGCCTGAAGGCAATAACGATACATTTTGACACTGATCAGAATCTGAATCAGCCTGCTCAGAAGGAAACAGGACTCGCTGCAGAGCAAATGAATCTCTATATGCTGGACCTGATTTATATCATTGCTTACCTGTGTCCTCTCATTTCTCCAAGTTTCATACTGGAAAATAATCCTACAGCACAGGGATCCAGATGAGTGTGAATTAGGCTATGATATGTATCAAATGAGGCAGCCACATTTCATTTTTCCTGCAGGCAATCATTCTGAGAAGAAAAACAAAGCAATATAACTGGAGACAATCTTTCTAATTGAGGTCTCTCAAACTGCCCTGAGGAATTAAACAGAAAGAGCTGTAACAGAGCCATGTAACAGAGCCTCTAAAATGTCATGGCAGTCTTTCCTACGTGGAAGCCAGCAGGTTCAATGGGAATTGATAAGAGCCCACACCCTGGAAAATAGTGTACAAGAAAATTCATTAGCACTGAAGATCAATGAGAGTGTCGTTCTTTGAAGAACCAGAGGTTCATATAAGTCTTAGTGAATTTTATTTTTCCTGAGGAAAAAAAGAAATCATTTAGAAAAACTTACCTGAATTTCACTAGTGAATTTTCCTTGTACATGATTTCAGTTAATTACACTGCCAGTATCTGCAATCAGCAAAATACCTTGTGTCTCTTGGGATTCTTTTTCAGCTAAGGCCAAATGAGACTTCAGCTTTTTGAATGCACCTGAAATAGTAAGAGGCTCCTGTAGCAAATAGCGTCAGCTTTCTAAAGGTGCTGGAAGGATTAAGGAAGACATTCGTTCACTTTAAATTTAGACGAGGTGAGGATACCTGAATTAGCATTATTTTAAAGATTACCGTCCTTATCACATCCTTAGGAATTAATCTTTCCGTAATCAGTTTCAAGTTCCAAATTAGAAGATTTCTATATTCAGTTTAGTCAGGTAATTTTCTGTAATTATTATTAGCAATGACACAAAATAAGCCTAGCACATGCATTTTCAACATTCAGGAAAAATAAACTGCAAGCTTAAGTTTTCTAATGCAGTTTAGAACTGCTGGTATTTCTTGAACTTCCTTTGACTTTTCATCTTTAAATCTAGCCTGTAAGTCTAGTACAATATATTCTGTGCTACTGAAGAATAATTATTTCACTCATGCTAGCCCATAAGGGGGTCATACTTCATTAATTCTAATCTATTTTACACAGATGTTAAAGCCAATTAATTTTAAAGTTTAAATAAAACACAGGTTTTAAATATAGATTAGCAGTAGCTAAAAAAGCAACAAAGAGGCTAGCACTGCTCTTATTGAACTCCGTAGCAAACATCCCCCTGGGACTTCAACAGATAAAGAATCAGACCTTTTCATTTTTTCTGCAGTTAAACGGCCCTGATTCTTTGTTGTCTTACATGAGTGATATGTGAAAAACAAACAGACATTTGTCATCCCTAAGTATACTGGCTACAAAATTCACAACTATATAAAAAAATAGTGTTTATTTAATATTTGATTGATAGTATTGTAAGTCCTTACAGTTATCACATTTCCACCCCAATACTAATTGTCAGGAGTTCTTTAAAGTGCTTAATGTCCATCATTTTTGTTAAGCAATAGAGTTTTGAGGCCATTGCTATAGGAATTAACAAGTTGACAAGAAATTATACTACTGTTGTCATTGTTTGGAACTGCTGTTATTCAGGTGACGCTCACGAATACATATACTGGAGAGAAAAAATGGAATTTGAAAAATACTTGCTCCTATAAATTGGAAGAATCTTAGCTGGATGGAGGTTTCTGCATGACTCACCTCATTTGCCAGTTCAAAGTGTTTTAGCACCCTGTTACACTGACAGGCTGAACAAAAGGGAAAGCCTCTAGCTGAGATATAATTGCACAGGATTTCTGCTGAAAAATGACTAGGAAAGCCATAAACAGTGCCCAGCCATAGCATATAAGAAGGAGTAAGATTATGCTCCTTTAACAGGATTTTTTAAAGCATATGGCCAGCTGGGTTTTCTAACCTGATTCAGATGTTATCCCTGAACAGGCAGTGAAATTGCTCTGGCAAATATCTTATCCTTAAAAATATACAGTATTAATTAAATGTTATTTTTTAAAGAAAAGTTTCATAGGGCTAGTATTTCCAACGATTCACAAAAGTTTAGGGCCTGAAAGTGTTTTATAGATGGATAAGCAAGAAGTTCAGCTCTGCAGCCCATTGCACCCTGGAATGCCAAACCAAAAATGCCTAAACAAGACCTCTACAAGAACATTTAGTGCTTGAGGTTCTCCAAGGTAAGTGCAGAAATGTTTTATTAGGTAAGGTCCAGCCTACTCACCTTATCTGCAATATTGAAACTTAAAGCCAACACTGGAAACTACACAAACTGTTAGGAAAAAGTAAAAAAAAGAGAAGAGTTATATCACTTCCTAAGCAAAATGAGATATAAAAGAAAAATTGTGCATGCAGTAACGCTGTTCACAATGAACAAACCAAAACCAAATGTCCAATATGTATCAGTTCCCCTATATTTTGGTTTTCCTTTAATGTTCCATATTTTTTGCCTTGATCTATAGTAAATGCTTCAATTAAAGGAACTCTTGCCTGTATCCTATCTAAAGGACATCCTAGTGAAACAGTCCTTTGATGCATCATACTTCTCGGAGAATCCATGCTTGCATTATGTTTTCTGAGCAAGATTAAGCCCTTAGATTTCAAGGTACATTTCAATGTATCTCAGAGAGATCAAAAGCACTTAGGTTAGTGGTGCTAGGTCAGATTCAGATTGACCAACAATGACTGGTCATATCCTAATGTCAAGATGTGCTACGGCAATGCATGTGTGTGTAAAGAGAGAAAGAAAGAGACAAGTGGCCTCTTTTCATACTCATGATTGACAATAAACATTAAATGTATATTAAAATAGTAACCACCAGATTCATACATTTATCTTTTGAGGAAGAAGTAGGTTTATCTGTAGAACTAAACTCCCAATTACCAGTAATATCTTCAAACCATTCATCTAAGTAAACTGCTTCAGATACAGAAAGAAAACTGGAGACATTTTAAAATAAGAATAAATTCCTATTCAGTATATGTAAGACCTTGCTGATTCACTGCATGCAACCTTGTTGTCTCTAAAGCAAATAAACAGGAGAAACTTCAGCTCAGGGGTAAAAAGCAGGTATCCAACTTTTCCCCTGCTACACAAAGCAAAGAATACCATTATTACTTTGCATTTTTTGAAAAGTTAATGCTCCTGGATGCTGTTGTCCGACACAATACCTGTGTTCCTCAGTGTGACTATTTTTAGTCCCAAAAACGTACCCACTCGTAATCATCAGCACATCAAAAAGCATCTACAATAGACCAAAATGGCTCCAGGCATTCTAATATTTCCTAGGAACTTGACCTGGACTTTAATCTTAACTTTCAGATTGAACCTATGGCCTCCCTACAGTCAGTGGCAAAATTCCCATTGGCTTCCTTAAGGCCGAGAGTCCAGAAACACTTGACTTCCCTGTTGGCTGAAAGTGATGGTCAGGCCCGTCTTCTATTATGCCCCTAGCTAGAAAATGCATAGACTAAAAAACGAGCTGCATTTCTGAGTTGGCTACTGCCATTTACCATGCTGAAGGTGCCAGAAATAAACAATCAATCACAGTTAATAATATCCTGAATTAAGGCTCTTTTTTAAAAATCATAAGGCATCCTCTGAAAATAGCGCACTAGGCAGTGATGACAGTAAAATGATATGATTTACAGAACATGAAAAATGGCTAGGAGCTGTTTTTAATAGTAGGTCCAACTATGTTCTAGCTCACTCTGCAGCTTGCCTCTAACTCTAGCCAATTCTGAACGCTGCAGAAAATGAAATAATTGTACTTCCCCCATTTCAGCTCTAAAAGTAAAATACCATTTCAGAGGCTGAAGCTGGAGGATTAAATCTCAATTTGCTCTCAGTATTTATGACACCAGTGAATGTCTGGGTAGTCCACGTCCTCGTCTGGTTTTTAATCCTACTAAATTCTTGATTTCTGCAATGTATTATGGCAGTGAGTTCCACAGTTTATTTCTACAGAAAGAGAAGACATTTCCTGCGACTCATTTCACATACACCTTATGTTATTCTCTGCTGCTGGAAATGCAAAATTTGGGTGTTATATTGACCCTTCTACTTCATTTAATACAAGCCCTAAAATGAGAATGACACTATATTCCTTCAGCACAGCCCTGTTTCTGCAGATCAATAGTAAGAGTCTCATTAAAAGGCAACCCAGGCCTCTGGTTAGCTCAATAACCTAGCTCAGTTCTGCAGTTATTCTGACTGAGCAACTATGCAAGGTGCTACTTCTTAGTTTACTAATATTGAGCATGAGCAAATTATGGCTTATGGTGCTATAGACAAACCACCTATAAAAAATGATAGGTAGCGCCACTGAGGTTCACTACTCTGTTCCACTCTAGCTAGAATGAAACTCATGAAACTTCAAACATAGTTAAGGGAAAGCTTTTACATCTTTGTTGTTCGACATCATTGTTTCATGAATCTTTATATTGCTATTTCAGCTAATCTGACAGCCATCAAGGCATGACACAGAATTAGTATTTTAACCAGAAATTTCAGACCCAGCACTTGGCTTTCCATTAACATCATTTGCATGAGGCAGGCTTTTTTTTTTGTGTGTGTGTGTGTGTGTGTGTATTTTGCAGTAGAATATTGATAATGAAAATCGATCAGTGGCTGATAGTGAATGCTAGGAAGACCCCAGTGATGCTAACAAGATACTAGCTTTTGAACAGATCAGGGGGCTTTGGGAGGGGCAAGGAGAAATAACTTAAAGGTAAAAAAATTAATTGAGAAGTATGACAGACTGCAGCAACATTTCTGGCACTAGGTAAAGCTGTATCTCATTTGTCCATTCATATTTTAGGAGTCTCTCCTTATTTGCCTACAAGTTGCTAGCAACTACACTAAGTGTAACTTTGTCTAACATTTTCACATCAAGACACTGATTTAATGATTGAAGCAGCACTGGGGAAAGAAGCATCACAAGACATTAGAAGATTATACATCACACCAATTTAATGCATTACAGAGTAAATCAATTGTGATGAATGGAACTTCAAATAATAATCTGATTACACAGGGACAAAAACAAGAAGCATCCAGGGAATTTTACAATGTGGAAAACAGACAGATTAGATCTGAAATTAATCTTAACTAGATAATCATTTTTGTGTTCCGGACTTGCTTGCACAAAGTATGACTGACACCCCAGGGACTACCATAGGAGTCAGTGATAGAAATCCTTTCTTCTCTGGTGAACGTGCAATGCTGTCATTCATTTAAGAAGAATTTGCACATACCAAGACTAAATCTGACTGTACAGCTTTTCCATTCTTAAGGGTACATTTCTGCTATACTCTGTGGTTTTGGCAATTTCAGAGGGTTATTATGAGCTCTTTGCAGGAGAAGAGTCTAAGTCCTCTATCCTGCAGACACCTAAGCATGTCCTTGTGTTTAAGGATATGAATAGTCACACTGTCTCCTCTGGGATTACTTGGATACTGAAAGTCAAGCACATATCAAAGTGTTTGCAGGATTGCTGCCTAGGGAATGAGAGACAAAAGGCTGTAGAAAACATATTATTTAATGAGACTC